GGGAGCTCAGACTTAAATTTTTCAGCCATGATTGAGCCATATATGAATTACCTTTTGGGCAATTTCTTAGCTAATGTTCATGAAAAATTTTAGGTCATAAATTTACCTAGACTCGCCTGGGTACTATATTTGGTGAAAATGATTCCAACCTGGGCATCTTTGTTCACAATCTTCACGAGTAAGGAAATTGTTGGCGTTTCCATGCAAACCACGATACTCGAACGGTACACATTTACGGCTATTGCCATCAAAGGCCCATCTCGTCGCATGCCATGGACCATCACCAGGATTGCGTGGTGGTGCTGTGCATGGGTTTGGAAGGGCTGAACGGAACGGTATGTAGACATAAAGGGGTTATTCGACATGAAATTCTATAGTCAGTTTATATCAAAGGAATGTTGTCGATGTGATGGCCAGCTGTACAAAATTTTCTACAAAAAACCAGTAATAGCTGGAGGTTTATAAGTTTGTGAAGAGCGATAATGCAGGTCTATTTTGTTTTCCAGAAAAGAAGTTATGTTAGTCACCCAAGAAGCCTTTTGATTTTATTTTCAGTCCCGAAAAGCTAGATTTTGCCTAAAAACACCTCAAATTCTTGTTAAGCCCTAGTTTATTTATTAGTTTTAGTTTTATTGAGTTCAAGTTTCTTTTTAAACATACCATTCGGACAACATACGGTAGTATCATTGGTCTCCCCAATATGACACCAATGTGCTTCAGGACACTTCAATGTTCTTGAGCAGGTTGTGAGTGGCATCTATAAGCATACTTGTTTGAAAAACCCATAGCGGTAAAGAAAATTAGGCTCACCATGGTCTTCATTGAGTTCATCGAAACTGGGCAAGGATTTAGTTGTACTGGACAACGAGATTCGCAATTTTCTTTGGTTAGGAAATTGTTCTGTAATTTTGTTATCTAATTTGCTTGCAACTGAAAAGTGGACCATTGTAATTTAGCGAAACATTTTTTGAAACTCACCGCATTTCCTCTTATTCCTCGAAACACAAACGGTAAACATTGTCGCTGGGCAGCATCGAAATAGTACCTAGAGAGGCAGAAGTTATACCGAATTAGCGTAAAAATATTTGAGCTAATTTGAGGAATTCGGAAGAGAATATATTGAGGTGGACATGTAAAAGGTCAGAAGGCTAACCTAGTCAGCGCCAGAGGTCCTTCACCTTCTGATTTTGCTCTCGTGCAAGGATCAACACGACCCGGACAGCACATGGTGGTCGTCATATCTGGTCCTGAAGCAATTCTCAACCTTTGTTTGAAAAAAGCCATTTATGATGTTTCCCTTTGCTTTTTGTGCTTTCTAGTAGTGGCGGTGCCCAAACCTGCCTAAAGGTGGGGAGCATGCAAAAATTTCTCCTAAATGGAAGGGTATGGTTTTAGCCCAACTCAAAATGATTTTTAGGACAGTCACCGAAAAAAAGCTTTTCGCAGAGCTTATTTGATTTTTATAAAATTCAAATGTTTTAATCAGCAATAATCGAGAATTTTTTCTACATAGTTCTGTAACTCATATATTAGGTGGGTGCAAAAGTTCGTTCGCCATTTTTCAAAAAAATCATAACTTCCTTCGGACTCAATGGAT